AAAGTTCAATTTGGCTTTGTTTAATTTTATGCAAGTATGCAGACATGCCAAATGCTGAACAGACTGAATAAAGTCTTGAGGTTGCAGCATGTGGCTGGTACCTAAATAGCTAAGTGGCATTGGACCTGCTTAGTAAACTTCTAAAAAACGGGGGGGGGGGAGATCAGCTTGGGAAGTTGGGGAGGAAAGGAAGCAATAGCACCCCAATTCAGTATATCTTGCAAGAAAACTAACTGGATATGTTTATTATTATATGCTTTGGAATCAGCTCCCCCCAGAGATTAGGATCGCTCCCATCCTGTTGGTCTTCCGTAAGCTACTTAAGACCTGGCTTTTCCGGCAGGCCTGGGGTTTATAAAACCTTACCCCTGATGATTGTTTTTGTATTGTTGTTTTGTTATGTTTTATGTGTTTTTTATTGTTAGCTGCCCAGAGTCCTTCGGGAGTGGGGTGGCTTATAAATTTTAAAAATAAATAAAAATAAATAAATTGTCTTATATTAATTAAAGTCACTTGGAATAAAGCTCAACTTCAGAACCTGTGCCAATTAAAATAAATAAATAGTTAATAACTGTTAGGTACTTCTTCCTTCAGCTTCCTCCAACTAAGATTGATTGCATATCTGCTTAAATTACTAAAAATTGTTTCTAAATCTGCATATGTAGATATAAATTAACATATGGATATTTCATTTCTCTCTGCCTAGCCTGCAGTTTTGGATGCATGTAACATTCAGCAATAAACCAATCCAGTTGTAGCACCACTTAATGCTTTGGTGCTCTCAATCCTTTTCTGGAACCCATTTTTTTAATCCAGCACTGATACATCAAAAGGCAGCAATAAAGGGAATTTTGTGAAAGGCCCTAATAGCCCATGCCTGCCACAGCAACAATGAACCCAACAAGTAGAGGACAAAAGGGAGAACTCAGTAGAGTCCAGCCATATAAAACAATGGGAATGTGATAGACGGTTCACTAAACTGAGCTAACAAACCTCTTTATGTTCTAATCCTTTAAATATACTTCATTTTCTCTGCATGAGTTTTCTCTTTTCTCCTTTTCTCTTCTGCCCACCGCTCCAAAAATTGATAACTTTTTTCATCATAATGAAATGGGAAGCAAACACTGAAGATGCTCTGGAGGCAGAAATCCTAAGAGGAAGAGAATGGGAGTTGTGCAGCTTTATGAGTAAATCAGCAAAATAAAGTTACTCAAGAAAAGCAAATGTGACCAAAATTGCATATTAATCTTTTGCTATGTCAAAAGAATATGAAGGTTATTTATGATAATTGAAATCTATAAAAAATATTATTGATCTTTGTGGACTGAGGAGCAAGTCTATTTATCTGCTTATTGCTTTACCTTTATATGCAATTTATCTGGCATCCTCAGGAGAAAGACAGTTAGTTGCAGTGGCACAGAATAATATACACCAGGTTTTTTTATTACATTTCATTTTTATTTTTTCTGGATTTTTATTGTTTTGGGGTACTTCACCAAGAGACAAAACCCATTTAATATAATATCATGCACATCAAATCATATCAAAATAAGCACCCAGGTAGAAAAGGGAAAGAAAAAAAATCAGCCTAAAAAGTAATTAGGAGAGCCTCTTCTGTGTGGAGTTCTAGAGTCACAGAGCTATCTGTCAAAAGAAACTGTCTAGGCAGAAGCATTTCAGTATAAAGTCAATCATTTTCACCGTCTGCATTAATAGGGTACAATTTCACCTTTTAAAAAGCCTATTGTGGAAAACTTAGAAAGAAGCAAAAGACATTTATTAATATTAATGCTCGAATTTGTAGTGAGTTACACCTTCCTCTATTACCAAATTCCAGGAAACGTGCTTGGGGATGGCCTAGGCTAGGGAGTAAGTATTTAAAAGGCCTATTTAAAAGACTCGACTCCTCCCATCACAAGGTAAAGTGACATATTTCCAGGGCCTATTCCTTTACAGGTTCTCCACTTATCACCTTCCAAAACTGGGAGCAATTTCAAAATGAAGCAGTCATTCAGGGAGTGCTAGTTAACATTGTTGTCATATGGTACAGAAGCAGGAGACAGAGAGTGGGAGATTCTCTAGATGGAACAGTTGATCTCCAAACTTCTAAAATATGAGTGTTAGAATTTAATTGGATTCTGTCTGAGACATTTTTCCCTTTGCCTGACATCTATCTTGGGGGACTGTTGGGATGACTGCTACATGTGCCAACCAGTCAGCATTTGTCATTACAAATTCTGCTTCCCCCAAGCACACAGGCCCTGAACTGACAAAACTCCCTTTCGGCTTCACTTGAGAAAAATAATATCCCTGGCTAGCATGTTCCTATCCTCCCATGATTCATGTATTTATCTACAGTAAACTCAACACAAGCTCTTTATGAGCTAGTTCATCAAATTAAAGAATAGCAGGGCGTCCTGGAGAGCAGAAATGAAATCTGGAGGGCTTAGGGAGATAGGGACAAATCAGAACTAAGGATTTTACTCAAGTGGATTTTATATTAATATGATGTGGCAGTTAATATTCCGGCCTAGAAATGAGGAGACTCTGAAGTCATCCCACCTTAGGCATGAAAGCCAGTTCGGTGCCCTTGGGCTAGTCGCTCTCTCTTAGCCCAGCCCACCTCATAGGGTTATTGTGAGGAAAACAGGAGGAGGAAGGTCTATAAGTATGCTCACTGCCTTGAGTTTCATATAAAGTAATAAAGGCAGGATAAAAATCAAATATCTTCTCTGTCCACCAATTGTTTTTCTATTTTAAGCCTTTGAAAGCTAGATGATCAGCTGGAGGAAGGAGCTAACCTTTGGGCAGCTGTTCTCCAGGAAGAGGAAAGAATGAGGAAACAACAATGCCCTAATAACATAAAAGTTTCACAACAAAAGAAACAAAAGATGTATTGAAACATTGGAATGTTTGGGAAAGGTTACACACAAGGCAAATTGAGTTTCCTGGAATAGACAATGGGGAAAAAAACATTGGGTACAAGTTTGAAATAATTTGCTTGATAGGGATATTGGAATCATAGTTTAGAAAGAGTATGAAAAACCTCTTTATTCTGGATTTGTTTTTTGCAATCCTTTTCTATTTTTGCATGTTCTTCAGTGTTATCAGCCAGCTATTAAGGCTAGAAGTTATCAATTCAGGGTTGTTATTAAACAAATCATTACATTTTGTTTGGAAAGCAAGAAATGGAAGGAAACTAGATCTTATTTTTTTTAAACAAATGTTACTGTTTTTTTAAGTTCTTAAAGCAACATATTCAGGACACACCGTGGTGTTGGGGTAATCAAACATCTTAAAACAAGACATATATACATAATATAATCAATACATCAAATATTCCCTCTTTTTCCCTCAAATAGCAGAATATATTTAGAATATCCAATTCAAGCTTAAATTTATTCAACCTGAACCTGTTTTTAAGCTTCATCAATTTCTACCATAATCAAATTAACTTTAAATAAAAACATTTTCAATTCAAATATCCCTTCCACATATGTTCTACTTTCTTAATTTTATCAAAATCTTATTTGTTTCTTCTTCCATTACTCTCCTTTATTTAGAGTAAAATATTAATCTATCCTGTATCTATCAAATCTATCAATTGATCTATCTCTTCAAGCTAAAAAAATCATACCTTAAATCATGTCATTCTATTAAACAAAATTCAAATCTCCAATTAATTATCATGACTAATAACGTCCATATCATCAGAAAATCATATCATCTTATTAAATTTCAATTAACTATTAGTTCACTTCAAATCTGAAACATCTCTTCAATTTTCGTCATTCCATTACATCATAATTTTCATAGAAATAAATCTAACATTCTAAAAGGAACATTCCTAGTATTCTAAATTGTCTTTAATCCCTTATATAGAAAGATATCTCGTTTTTAAACAAAAATATTAATCTATCCTAGACACATCTAAATGTATTTATCAAACTATTCTATAGATATCTAATCTTTCACTTAATCTCTTTGAATTAACAAATTAATATCAAACCTTAAATCATTTCAATCCTTTAAGTTTAAATTTCACATGTTATAGGACAAACAAGTCATCTTATTTAATTAACATTCAATTAATTATTGATTCACTCCAACTCTAAGACATCTTTTTACTTCAAACTCAAAATCTCAGTCCTTATATCAGTCCATAGATCTAGGTTTCCTTTAATCCAATTTAAGAAATTTTAAATTTCATTTTTCAATCTTATTCTAGCTTTCCTCTTTTGCCAGGTAGGTTTCCATAACAGGGCTTCCCTTCCAGATAATAGGTCTCTTTTTGTTGCTTGTAGTGTCACTTGATTCGATACCGACCATCTTGATCTCTGATTTAATCCTCTGTTTCTCTTGTCCATAAAGCCTCGTTGCTTCAGAAGTCCAAAGTTCGGTCCTTGCTTTTCCTGGTCTTGCTTGTAAGACAAAATAAGATTCTCCTTGTTGTTGTTGTTGTTGTTAATTGCAAAGTCGTGTCCGACCCATGGACAATGTTCCTCCAGGTCTTCCTGTCCTCTACCATCTTCTGGAGTCCATTTAAGTTCACACTTTAAAGATTCTCCTTATCCTCAGTTAAAACCTCTTCTTGTATAATCTGTTTTGTAGAGTAGTCAAGTTAGTCTGACAGTTAGTTTTAAGTTTTAAAGTAGAAATTCTGGCTCTTAGTTCTGTAGTAGCCTCTTTTATTGTAGTACATATTTATTCTTTAGCCTCATAGATCTTTTCCAGTATAAGTTTACAGTTTAAGTGTGATTGAGGCTTCTCCGTTTTAGCAATAGCTGAAGAAGGGTCCTTTTCCTTATTAGTGAAGGTTACAGTTGAACATTATCCACCCCCACAGATCATACAGCTAGCTCAAATTATCTTTTTTCTTGAAAAACAGTTTGAAGGCCAAAGCTCTCTCATCTCAAAATAAACAACAATCCAATATTAACTTTTGACCAGTAGGTGTCCTCAGTGAGCTAAAGATTTTTTTTCAAATGCCAGTTTTTTTCCCCTTTTTTCTATCTTTTAAAGGGAGAATAGAAAAAGAAATGCTCTGCCAATATAATACTGCTCCAAAAAAACACAAAAAAGTTTTTTTCTACAGCACAATGTAAGTAGGAATAGAGTATAGTCTTTAAATGAATATTTATTTGTTATTTCTGTCCTTTTTGTAAAACGCGTTTGTTCCCATGTTTACTAAAGCTGCTTTCTCCAGATGGGGAAATGATAGCACAAACAGCTTCTACAGGCAAAAATAGCAGGGGTATGGAGAGGAACAAAAGGGATCTCACCTGGATCATCCGCGGTGGGTCATTAAGGCTTAGGTGACGACGTGACTTTCGGCTGGTGCAGCAGGGTGATCGGCCATCTTACAGGCCGATCTTTGCTCCGTCGGCCCTAAAGAGAAGCTGAAGATTTGGGGGAAGCTGCTGCCCTCCCCTATCTACCAGCCGGCCTCCTCCTCGGTGGTTGCCCCTCCAGGGCAACTTTCGACACCCTAGGGGGTCTACCGGCAAAGGAAACTCCGGACGGCCTAGAGAGAATTTTCCAGGCACGACCGGCATCGCCACGTTCCAGAACCGGAAGTCTGGAAACTAAATCTTATTGATGATCTTATGAACATATCAGGTGGCTGCTTATCAATCTTGATTAATCATCACTGAGATTGGTTGTTGCCTGGCATAGATCTACAGCACCACTTTCTCTATTATTGTTATTCATTTATTAGAACTGAAAGTACTTTCCCTCAAAGATTTTCTTTATATGTTGTTGAACAAAATGTGTCAATTTACTTTATGTGTTCTTAGTTTGAAGCTTCAATGTAAAGCTTTAAAATAGTAAAATAAAATGGTATCCCTTTAATTTTTCTAAAACATAATTTTTTAGACTAAATATCTTTTTAATATATTCAAAACATATTGGTGATCAGCTGAAATAAGTGAGTATTAAGCTTTTCTGTTCCAAACCCAGTTAAACAAAGAAAAAAAAAACCAGAAGGCAATAACAAGCCACTTCCATGATGTTGGAAACAAAATATGTACATGAAGTTGCCAAAGTCAAGGTTGATTCAAAGGAAACATTACCTTCACTAAGTTCATAACCTGAAGTGATAATGAAAACAGTTGTAATGTTATTTTTAAGCTAAATTTTAAGTATTTTATTTACATATTCTGTTTGGTTTAGAAGAAATAAGATGGGGCAAATATAATCTGAAGAATATTGGCTCAGTTCATAAAACTGAGTAAGTGCAGCGTTAAAAACACATCTGCACTTGATTTACGTAGAAGAGTAATTTTAGATATTCCAGATAGTTTGAAATAGTAGGCCACTGTTTCTCCTGTTTTAAATAAAGAGTTAACTATTGTCTTTGTAAAAATACAAATTAGGGATTCAATTGCAAATTTGATAAAGTGTACATTTCTTTATCTAATAGCATGATGATGTGTTATATCTGATTATTGTATTATACCTGGGTTACTCTATGTTGAGCAATATTAGATTGTTTAAAATAATGCAATGAGCCTGTCAACAAAGATTTGTAGCTAGTTCTTATTGATGCAAAGTTGACATCATCTGCTTTATTTTTAGACTATGCCCTGATTTGATTTGAATTATAGATTGAAGATTGGAAGAAGGTGGAGTTCAAACTGAATTTGCAATTCATGATTTGGGAACAAAGGGATTTGATTTGAGCTTCTTCGAAGTTATAATGGTATCAAAATATCTTTAAATGCTGCATGGGGTGAACATAGGAGGAACGGAAGATTCATTAGAAGACATGTTGCTATCTGGCATCAGCTGGATATCTTCAAGAGTTTCTCCTCTTTTGAGGCAGAAATAAAAAAGGTTTGAGAAGAGGGCAGCACAGAAAACTGCCTAAGATGCACGGACTTAGAATAGTAAATATCTTATCCCCAAAGCTGTTTAAAAGTAAGTTCTTTTCCACTTGCTCTTCTGGACTTCTAAACTTGGCACAATACTGCAGAATTATTACTGATGTGTCCTTCTGGACTGTTTGCTTTTTTGGGATACCAGTAAGATTGGCACAGTTACCTGAGAAGTTCCCCACTCAGGAGCTACCATGTTTCCCCGAAAATAAAATCCACCCCAAAAATAAGCCCTAGCCTGATTTTTTTTTGGGGGGGGGGTGGACCTAATATGAGCCCTACCGCAAAAATATACCCGGGGGAGTGGATCTTTCCAAACGCCCCATAGGTGCCCAAACACTTTTCACCCAGAGAAATGATGGAGACTGGAAGCTTTGTCTGCTTCCAAATGTGGTGCTTGGGAACAGAGCGATTAGCCCCATTTTCAAGCGCTCCATTTGCAACCAGACAAAGCTTCCAATCTCCCTCTGGGCAAAAAGTGTTTGAGCGCCTATGGGGCACTTGGGGCATTTCTATCACCTCCCCGACCTGCCTTGCCTTGCGGCAGCAGCGCAGCAAGCACGCGGCCTGTGAACATTTGCAGAAGTGGGCCAATGGCCACACGGGCTTCTGCTAGACAGGGCTGTCGATGCCACTGCTGAAAGTCAAGGCAGGTGTCGGGGGAGAAAATAAGACATCTCTCAAAAATAAGACTGCGGCCTCTTTTGGAGGGAAAAAAGTATATAAGACCAGGTCTTATTTTCAGGGAGACACAGTAGTATTCCATCATTGAGTTAATTGGGGTTCCAGGAAGGATTGACCTCTTCAGGTCTCCTGAAGCGACTTTATTGTGTGATGTGGCTTTGCTGCTTCTGCTTCTTAGTATGTGGTATGACTGGAGCATTTGCATAACTAATTGGCAAGCTCTCCTGGGGGGGGGAGTCATTCATAGGTGAGTGGCAATGAACTTATTCTAAATGTAAGTTAGCAGAGGCAGCAAAAGCAAGCAAGCATGGTGAGCCTTCAGACTTAAAAGAGTAAATGTTGAGCTAGTACTTGTTAAGAGTAAGTATTAGATCGACTGGCCTTCAGCCCATGCACAGATCACTGAGAATTTTGCTTCCAGTTGAGTGCTCAAAGTAGTCAAGAGTCAATGGAACTATCTGTTATTGTTGTTCATAGTATTATCAGTTAATTATTACATTAATTTCATATAATAAATGCTTGGGGGTCAATGAAGAATCTGAAACTTCATGAGGGAGTTGAGGAGCTGAAGAATTTGAGGACCACTGCACTAGAAAAAAAGACCCAAAGCTCATGAGTAGCTGAGCAAATGAGGGAAGCCCAAGGTAGCATTAGTCTTACCATCTGAAGGGGAAGGAAGTTTAATGAGCTGATAACATTCATTGGCCATCAAGAACTTGTGTCACATCCCTCAGCCCAATGGGAGTGGCCTTGAAATGTTATATAAACTCTATAACTGCCAAAGCACTGTAAATGTCATGTCACTGAACCTTATGACACTTTAAAAGACTTCAGACTGCTTTGCATCCACCTGATTCCTACTTCGTTGATTCTTTTTCATCTGATGGATGCTTCTTTGCACATTCCTATTATAGAACACAGATTATGTGTTATCAAAGTCTAGTGGGTCATATTTATGTATTATTTCTTATGAGTGATTGTATACTGCTCCATTCATCTAAGTGGCTTCCTAAGCAACAGATTTAGATATCTTAAAAATGATTTAAGAATGAATCCTTGACTTCTGACATTTTTGAAAGTTTCCATTTTTGCAGACTGTCAGCAATCTGAACATCACAGCAATCAGAATATTTTCCCCAAATACAGATATGCATGCATTCTCCAATCAGTTATGGTGTCGATTGGATTGAGATTTGGAGCATGGGGGTTCTGTGTGTTAGTGAAGGATCAGGTGTCCCACTACAGTATTTTACTATAGAAAAGGACAGTTTTGCAGAATATTTTCCACAAATTCTCCCCTATTCTTATAGTGATCACTACTATCCTACTGCCATATCCAATATCCAACAACATTGGTTCTCTTTGCATCTCTGACACCATGGAACAGATAAAATGGTAACCAAAATTTATACATTTTATTTAATTTTTATCCCACCTTTATTACTGTTTATAAATAACTCAAAGTGGTGAACCTAATACTCCCCCCTCCTATTTTTCCCACAACAACCATCTTGTGAGGTGGGTTGGGCTGAGAGAGTGACTGGCCCAGTGTCACCAAAGCTGACTTTCATAGGTGGGACTAGAACTCACTGTATCCTAATTTCTAGACAAATGTCTTAACCACTAGATCAAACTGGCTCTGTTGATACTGCTATTGCTTTATTTCAATGTTACTGCTACTGACAAGCTCGAGAAACTGCTGGAGAATTCTGGCAAAATGGTGTGCTTTCTTTGCCTACCAATAGGATAAAAACAAGGCAAAAGCACTCTCCTCCTATAAGGTTTCTCAAATGCAGGAATCACAATTCCATCTCAAATTGACATCTCTCAGGATTGTTTAGAAGATGACTATGAGATCTATCTTATAGAGATTCTGTAAAAACCCTCATATACACTCTATTCAACATTGCCTAGTATTCCATATTCTTCTTTTTCCTAAAAGCATTTCTAAGAGCTAGGCCAAGGGTCCCCAACCCCCCAGGCTGCGGCACAGCAATGGGCTGTGAACTGTTCAGAACCAGGCTACAGAAGAGATAGGTGAGCGTACATGCGCATGCTCATTTGTATGAGCAGCGGGCGCACATGCCCACTTGTGCAAATGGAACTTTGCGTGCGCTTGCCCGCCACTTGCACTGAGCCATCCCCTGTCCATCTCCCTCTGCCTCCCTCCCCCGCTGGTCTGCAAAGGAACTCCGAGCTAGGGGATTTCAGAATATTTTTATTCTTATCTGGACATTTAACTAGTTGTTGTTTTTTTAATCCAGCTTCTTTACCAGTGTGTCAGACCATCCATTTTCCCACTTGGGTTTGAAATTATTCTTTGGGCCAAAATGAAAAGCAGAAAAGAGCTGTAGTTTCCTTCCTTCTTTCTAGGGCATATTTCTCTCAAACGAACTATGGATCTTGCTCCAAATCTAGCAGGTAGGTGTGGCTGACTTTTCTAGCTGGTTTTGCCTCAACTGACCCTTATTATTCAGGGTCAAGGCAAAGTGGAGCTTCTGGCAGATTCCAAAGAGCGTGGCAGCAAAGCCAAGATTGCTGACATTTCAAAATCAGTGCATGAGAACATTCAGCTGTGGCAAGAACACACCCAAACAAACAAGTTTTGCTTGTAGGCGAGAAAGGTGAGGCAATAATTGTCCAGAAAATAGTCAATGTAGCCTTGCTAGAAGGTTTCAAGAAATGTGATTATTAGGCTATATGTGTGTGTTTGAATATGATTTAAAGATTTGGCAATGTTTCACAAGCTTGTTCAATCTATTATAAAGCTAATTAAGGAGGTATCTGTTTAAAGTTAGGCCTTGTCCTTTATATCATGGGATGTATTAATAGGTAGTGCTGATCTTTGTCAATGTTCCCAGTCTCCACCATAACAATACAGATTTGGTGTTTGCATGTATTCTGAGTGAAAGCTGAGGCCAAAATAAAACAAATCCTGTTTACCTACAGTGAACTTTAAACTTTTGTTCAAAAGCAGAAATGCAATCTGTCTGTTATTATGGCCATGAACAGTATGAGTATACCATACTGAATATACATACATATATACATATACATATACATATATATATATGTATATGTATATATACATGAACAGAATGAGTATACCAGCTTTTGATGGAGGAGAATGGCGACAAGAATCTTGAGTAAACACTAGAAATAATTTTTGCCATGACCTCTTTGGCTCTAATGTTTAGACTGTAGATTAGTTAAAACTGGTTTTATAAGGAACTGTCTAGAGACAGATAATCCAAAACAAATTCAGGATGAAAAATGAATCAAATGAACAAATAAACTATTTTTCATTTCTGTTTAAAGAAATCTGAAATGAAAGCTAACACTACAAGCTATCAAACTGATGATTCAACAAAAATATGAAATCTTTTCTCCCTATTATTTATCTGTTTTGTCCAATAGACAATTCTTTACAATAACACCGAGAAGAGGGCAATGTTGTTTATAGAATTTTATTGCTTTGTGACAGAACTGCTGTAGGTTGCTGTCCTCATCTACTGAACTTTTTTTGGAGGAAGCAAAGAAAGGAATCTACGCATTATGATAACAAGAAACAGTGCTGCCACATTGAAAATCAGGGGAAAATATTCTGCAGTTCATGAAAACTCATAGTTCACATAGGCAACAAACTGCTTTGATGACTGAGACATATGTTTGGAAGGGCTTAACTGGGAGTTTGTGGACCTCACAAATTGCTACAACCAGCTTCCAACACAGTGGTCCTATGGCTAAAGTTGCTGGGAGTAGAGTTCAGCAATGTCTGGGATAGCTTGCTGGTTAGTCTTCAGAATTTACGAGAAGCCACTGGATCCGAAATTATTGTCCAGTACATTAAAATGGAGAAGGAAGGAAGGGAGGGAGGGAGGGAGGGAAGGAAGGATTATTTAATATTTGGATAAATGAATATGTTACAAATATGGGGCTGGAGCGAGAATTCCTATTTGGTCAATGCAAGCCCCTTTGAATGTAGCTCCATTGAGAACAATTACATAAAAGAGGAGAGAAGATATTAAATCTTCTCCTTTCCCTAGTCTCAGGCCCTCTTCTTTTGCAATTCTCCAGACCTGTAATCAGGAGATTAGAGGCAGAACAGATAACATTGACTTCCTCTCCTGTGCAGAGGTAGCAGGAAAACATTCAGAGGATTAAAAAAAGAAAAAGAAAAGCCTGTGACTTTTTATCTGCAGGAGGATTCTCCCAGATCCTGCCCAATGTGAACTACACACCTTCAAGAAAGAAGCAGCATCATTTCTTCCTGCACCTTTATTCTTATTTGGCCACTTCAACAACCTTTCAACCTGAAATAAAGAAACAAGCAAGTTGGAGCCTAGTGCAGTTTGCTTGTAGTCCTTCAGTTATATTGCTAAGCCATTATGACTTTGATTGTTAATCAATGTGGAATTCGTGATCTGTATATTCGAGATGGGGTTAATGATAAGAAAATCAACCCTAGACCTAACTTTAACCCTATTTTCCTGCTGGCTTAGTTTAGTCATTGATACTTTTCCAGAGCAATAGTTGATGAGGGAGTTCACTGGAAGAGATACTACTGGATAGGTTGCAAAAGGTGATCACATGAACTTGGGACACAGCAACGATCGTAAGTGTGAACCAGTTGCCAAGCATCTGGATTTTGATCACATGATCATGAGGATGCTTCAAAAGTCGTAACTCTGAAAAATGGTCATATGTCAGTTTTTTTCAGTATCCTTGTAACTTTGAACGGTCACTAAATGAACTATTGTCAGGAAAGTGCCAAGAATTTGCCTATATGGAAGCAATTCAACCCTGATCCTACAGCCAGTTGTAGGAAAATACATTGTTACTCTACTCCATGTGGAAAGAGTTTGGCTTATGCTCAAGGTATTTTAGGCTTATCTCAAGTTCTAATTAAGTATACCATCTTGCTCTTACAGTCTGTAAAATCTAAAGTATTTTTCTCCAAAATGTTCATGTACCTGGAATACTTACGGTAGGACTACCATACACCAAAATATTTTTAAATATGCGAATCAAGAGATGCTGTGTAGGCAAACTTGAACTATGACTTAGATATGCAATCCAATCTGTATCTGCTCTGAGGTTGGTCCAGTCCAATTCAATGGAATTTATTCCTAGGCAAAACCATATAGGATTATAACATTAGTGTAGAGATGAGCCAGCACAATCCCAGTTCAAATGGATCTCCTTCTGAATCCATGTGTAATGGTATGTGAGAAAGGTCTCAGGCAGGGTCCCCAACCCCCAGTCCATGGACCAGTACAGAGCTGCGGCATGCCAGAGCACACAAAACCACACATCCTCCAGTCCATGGAAAAACTTCTCTCCATGGAACCAATCCCTGATGCCCCAAAGGTTGGGGACCTCTGGCCTAGGAAATAGTTAGATAAGAGAGAGCATAGCCTGCAGCTGCATAATGGATGGAGAAAGAGGCTCAGAATGGATAGCTTTTCAGGCTGCAAAGGAGACCGCAAGAGATTTGTATTTTCAGACTTGGAAGATTTTGTTAATGTAGCCTTATAGTGAAATAGAATTAGCTCATCTGATCATGGTCCTATCTGGTCTACCTAGGAAGGCTGACACATATCCTAAAAGGCTGGATGTAGGTAAATCAGTATACTGTAGCAATATATAAGCAATGAACCACAAAAGGTTTATTTTTCCCATTTTGAGGTTCCCATCAAAGCACAGCAATAATTCAGAGGAACAAATTGCTTCTAACTATGCTTTCTTGGGTTACAAGAGTCTTCTTTTTAACCAGAAATTCACAAGTGCTACATATTGGAACTACTGCTGCAGTTGGAAAGGCAAGTAAACATGTTTTGTGGCTGGGAAGAGAAAGAGGTCACACAAACCACAATGCAAATCCAATGGCTGACTATTAAGCAGCTTATTTGTTCAGGAGCTGACAGGGGTACACCTTGAACCACTCTGACATTGAAATGCAGTCTATTTATTTGGCAGGTCCTTGCATTGTCAGACTGCTGAGAATGAACTGATGCTTGTGTTCTGAAGTTAATTAAAAGAGTAATCTAAATGAAGCAAGTTCCTGATGAGATGCCAGCTGTAGACAAAGGCATTCCTATCCACAGATATAGCAGGAGAAAGCAAGCAACATGCAAAACTAATTATGAAACGAGGCAATGTAGTGTCTCTGGTCCTGAAAGCACTGCAGTGTGGAAGAACAACACCAGCTCGTTCTGTGGGTATGTGACAGAGGCAGAGTAGTAGTAGGCATTCGGCTACTGCTTGCATTGCGATGGTGTAACACTCCGAGTGGACTGTCCTCTGTGCTCATTTTCATTCATTTCAAGAAATCCTTCATTTAGGCTCAAGCCCTGTCCTTTTCACATTACAGCTGTCAACTAGTCATTAAACTGGGGGGCTGTCTTGGCTCTAAAAAGCTGGCTGGGGAATTCTGGGATTTGAAGTCCAAAATCTTAAAGTTCCCAAGGTTGGACACCCCTGCTCTAAAAGGAAGCAGTACTTATGAGGGATAACGATTATGCCAATCTTTCCCTCCAGATGTGACAGTGCCTACTGGTCAGTTAAACCAGGTTAGCCAGCCTCTAGAATGCTATTCTACAGCACAGAATATCCAGAGTTTCAACAAGTATCAGAAGATAAGCGAAAATGCAGGAACATTTTAGGGAACCCTTTTGGATCTTTCAGGTGCTTGAGGTGAGGCATTTATTTGATCCACCACCTTGTTGGAAGTTCATACAGTGATCAGTCTAAAGTTTGCCACAGAGTAATCCGTCCATGACTACTGAATTGCACAGAATGTTCTCTGCCTTAGCTAACTTCTGTATTAAAATTCATTTTTATATAACAAAAATGGAAAGTCAGCACACTGTAAACCAGAAGCGATCTTCTGTCATGTGTATTTCCAAAAATCTTCCCCCAAAAATGAGGGTGGCTACAGCCAGTAGTTTGGCTAGAGGCATTCCCATCTCTTCCTACAAAAAGGAAAAGAATAATACAGAGCATCTGTTGAGAAGAAAATGACAGGGAGTATTAGTGCTTATAACTGATTATGCCCCCCATTATGAATGGGCAGCATCCCCATCAATCATTTGTGAAAGTGCTGCACAATGTTCTCAAAACCCCAGATCCAAAAAGTCAAGAACCCTTTCCTTGGCTTTACTTAACGTACTTAAAACCCAGGTCTCTTCCTTGGTCAAGTGATTTATCTTCCTGGGCAGCAGCAAATTGTCCAGTTTGGTCTAGTGGTTATGTCCCCAGGCTAGAAACCAGGTGACTGTGAGTTCTAGTTTCACCTTTGCCATGAAAGCCAGGCGGGTAACTTTGGACCAGTCTCTCTCTCTCTCTCTCTCTCTCTCTCTCTCTCTGTCTAACCTGCCTCACAAGGTTGTTCTGGAGAAAATAGAGGGAGTATTTTTGGTATCTTTGACTTACCACTCTTTCACTGCATCCAAAATAGATCTAACATACCAATACTACTCCTCCCCCTCCTTCTCAAGGTTTAGGCCAGGGGTAGGCAACCATGGCTGGCTCAGGAATTCTGGGAGTTGAAATCCACTGGTCATAAAAGAGCCAAGGTTGCCTACCCCTGGTTTAGGCTCTCTTAAAGAATGTGCCCTATCATTTAACAATAGACACTCCCGTAAATACATTTCAGGGCAGAATTTGACGCAAAAGTGGGCCTGGATGGTAATACAACCATAAAGGCTCACCATTTATTTCAATAGAGGAGATAGTCATATGCATTAAAAAGCAGTCTCAATAGTAGGGCTCCAAGTTGAACTAAATGAAAAAAGCCAGCATTTGCATCTTGATCTTATAGAGACAGATCACTAACAAATTACCTGAAGAAAGTTCACAATATTACACAGGAATTGATGCCAGTAATAACAGCAATTGGCTACAAAATGAATCGTGCGGTGGGGTAAACATCACCAAGACCGACTCAGCTAAGCTTGGGTAGGGGTTAAGGAGAATAGAGAAAACTCCCCACATTTGAAAGAAATAATGGGATTTATCATTGAAGGTTGCTCCCTCATAAAATATTTTCAATCCTGAACTTTGCAAATTGGCAAACATGCTATTGGTTATTTTATATTTCTTCATTTTGTCTAGTTATGGTCTATTTCCTATATTCTTTTAACCTACTTTATTCACTAGCCTTTGACCTTTGATGTTTATAGTGCTTAATGGATTTTGGTTCCCTATCTTCCCTTTTCTCTTCTCTTGCTGCCAACTGTTTTTCAGAGCTATTTAATTTGCACATTTTACTCATTACTGCCTAATAATATTGTTATTATTATTAGCTTTAGAATGACTTCCTTGCTTTGTTCTGCTATGCCGCACCATATGCATTTTGGTCCAATTCTTTTATCTGTCTTTTATAAAGGATCTGTAATAACTGATTTTAACTTAGCTGGTTTTGTATGGAGGTATGCTCTACAAATTGAGAATAAAACTCTATATGCCATCCTTAAGAGATGGAAGAGGACATTCAGACTACTGGGTTCATTTCCCTGCTTGGTGCAGAAATCCAAATTAAGGAAGTGTTTCCTGTATATCCAGCTTATGCTTGAAGACATCCAGAGAAAGGGAGCCCACCACTTCCAAAACAACTCTTTTATCCCCTGCTGACAATCATTTCTGCAAAATCCCCTCATTCTCAGGATAACTGGGAAGGCAGCGCAGTTTGGTATCTGTGACAACTGAGATTATAACTCCACAACCTCTGATAGTTGTATTTACTGCTTTTGTTCAGAACATGCCATAAAGCCTTCCCCTTCCATTCACACCCACATCCGCAAACCAAAATGAGTACCTGTAAATGGGTACTCATTTAAGCGTAATGGGCACATTCTCGAGAAATACATAAAGATTTCCTTCGTGATACCGAATTATTTTTTTCCCCTCCCTTTGCAAACCAAGCTGAGCTTGCGTGTAATCGGGAACTCTGGGTAACGTTGAAAGAAAAGCTGGACTCTAAACCTAAGCGCGGTTTGGAAGCCTAGGAAGATCCTTAAGGACAAATAATAATGGACGAATTAAGTGCTATTAATGGCACGGTTATACATTACCTGGTGGGATACTGGCTGGGGGCGGGGGTTAGCTCTGGGCTTCCCTTCCTAAGGCGGCTGCTTACCACAAGCGGAGCCGCCACCTCAAACATCGCCAAGGGAGCCAGGCAGGCGAGGCAGAGGAAGCCGGCCGGGGTCTCACCGCCGCAGGGAGAGAGCAGACGGCGGGTGTCTGGAATCCCACCCTTGGAGTTCCCGTGATTGACACCCCAGAGGATGGCTCGAGCTTTCCAAGCGCAGAGCCGTGCAGCCAATAAGCGCGACCGGGGGCGGGCCTTGGCGTCAGGAGTATCTGTTACTTTAGACTCGCCGGCGCTGTGTAGGGGAGCCCAGAGCTGAGCCGGACCGCGCAGGTGAAGGGCGCGAGCGAGAGCTGGAGCTCAGACACTCGGGGACTGGTTCGCCAGCGCTTGGACGGCGGTGGCGGCGGCGGCGGCGGGTCCTGCTGAGGGGCACCTGGCTGCACTCCTCGGCCTCAGCGGCAGCAGCCCCCACTCCCCATGGCGACCAAAGGACTTTAAAGGAGTTCGGGGGCTTGGTCGGCATCTGGGCGATTCCGGGTACGCAGCTGTCGTCGACTTGATCGTTCCCACCTTGCATCCGTCGCGTCTAGTGCTCGGTTTCTGGGAAGGCCGCCGGCGGGACGGGTTTAGCTTGCCGTGCCTGGGAGATTTCTTCGGGCCAGGAGTTAAAGAAAAGGCAGAGCGAGGACCGAGCCGTGGATGAGAAGCCGGAGAGCGGCGACTTGGAAGCTGCCGACTTCTCCGCGAGAAGTGGCCGCCGTCGCCGCTGCTGCTGCTTTGGAGAAGGAACGGGAGACGCGGGGAACGACAACTGGAGACAAAGCGAAGGGCGGGAGGAACCTCTCGCTGGGACATCTCAACACCGAGCCCGGATGTGGCTTTGATCCTTTTGGGGAGGAAAGAGCTTTGGGGTGCCGTCCCAAACAGCGACCTCGCCGCCGCTCTTTTTCCTTTGTGCACCGCTAGGAGAGGCGACAGCAGATCGGGGGGGGGGGGGGTTGGCCAACAGGGCAGCCCAGGGGTTCTCGCAACCTCTGGCGACCAGGAACCAGCCCCTGCCCGTCTTAAGGGTAGTGTCGGGCGAAAGGGTGGGCGTGTTGGGGAAAAAGGCAAGAAAGACCGGCCGATGACAGTTTTCTCTTCCTTGGCCAAGATGGGGCGCTGAGAACCCGCTTGCGCCCCTTTTCGTGTCGGGTGCGTGTTCATTGTTATGTTCACCCCTCCCTCCCCCCACGTCCTCATGGCGTTAATCTCCCGCTCTTCTCTGTTTGCTGTCCCTCAGATCCGGCGATTCCTGCTCTCGCCGCGCCCTGTCATTGATGGGAAATCAACTGGATCGCATCACTCACCTGAGTTACAGCGAGCTGCCGACCGGGGACCCCTCGGGGATCGAGAAAGACGAGCTGCGCGTCGGAGTGGCATACTTCTTCTCGGACGAGGAGGAGGATCTGGACGAGCGAGGGCAGCCGGACAAGTACTGCGTGAAGGGGTCGAGCAGCCCTGCCCAAGAGTCCCCCACCCGCCACCACCACCACCACCACCACGCGCCGCAGCTGGTGCTGAGCGAGACCCAGTTCTCCGCCTTCCGCGGCCAGGAATGCATCTTCTCCAAGGTGAGCGGAGACTCCCAGACTGGGGATTTGAGCGTCTATCCGGCGTCAGCCCTGCCGGCTCTGTGCAAGCCGGGAGACCTGCTGGAGCTGCTCTACCTGGGCCCGTCCGACCACCCTCCGCCGCCCCCGCAGTGGGCAGTGTATGTGGGCAACGCTCAGATCATCCACTTGCACCAGGGCCAGATTCGGCAGGACAGCTTGTACGAGGCGGCCCCCGGCAACGTGGGCCGGGTGGTGAGTAGCTGGTACCGCTTCCGCCCCCTAGTGGCCGAGCTGGTAGTGCAGAACGCCTGCAGCCACCTGGGCTTAAAAAGCCACGAGATCTGCTGGACGAACTCGGAGAGCTTCGCCGCTTGGTGCCGCTTCGGCAAACGGGAGTTCAAAGCGGGCGGCGAGCTCCAGCCGGCCTCGGGCTCTCAGCCTCAGCAGCAGTACTATCTCAAGATCCACCTGGCAGACAACAAGGGCCACACGGTGCGGTTCCAAAGCTTGGAGGACCTCATTAGAGAGAAGCGCAGGATCGATGCCAGCGGTAAACTGAGGGTGATCCAAGAGCTGGCGATCGTGGATGGCAAAGAATAAAAAGCGGAGCAGGCGCGAGGGGGGAGGGAGGGAGAAGGGAGACCGGCCGTGGCCAGATCGGCAAGCACCACCGTCCTCCCTGCAGACTCGCTCCGCCGCCTGGTTGCTCGGCTTCTTCCGCCTTTCCTCCTCCGGTCTTTCCCATGGAGGGAAAACCACGGCCATATTCCAAACGAAACCAGCGGCTGCCCTTCCCTTGGCCTCGGCCAGAGGTTGGTTCGCCTCCCACGAACAGGGATCGTCGTCACCATGAGCCCGGCGACCCGGAGGGTGGGGTGGAGAGGGGTGGGGCCCGCCACGCGATGAGCAAAGTCTGGACAAAGTCACTCGGGGCTATCCGTGTTCATTATACTTCCCATCCTGCTTAAATAAAAATGTTTTATGAAAAACATTACCCCCCCCTTTTTTATAAAAAAAAAAACCAAACGTTCCTGGCTTTAATTCCTAAGAACAATGGCTGATTTTTTTTATTTGTTAAGGGACTGAGGTTAGTTTTTTTGGAGTTGTGCCTGTTCTGAGTATGCAAGAACTTTTGATGGGTTGTTGATGTGGGAGAAGAGGGCAACCTGGTGCCCTGATATTTTGGGCGCAGTTGGCCTTCCTTCTTTGAAGTCCACTACCTCCAGAAAGGAGTGCGGTTACTTCTTTACAGCATGGCAATTTTATGTGATGATAAATCTTGGGTTTTTAAAATCTGTTTCCTAAAAGGCTATCAGTTCCAGGGTGTTAGACTGATACAACAATGCAGGATCTGGGCTTGTTTTCTGAGTAAGCATGCATAGGATTTCACAATACAGTGTCAGTCCTGGGTCTAACTTTATGCTGCTGTTGCCACCAGGACAATTGCAGTCCTAGGGAGTTACAGTCTTAAATCTGTTCAGATGGCATTAGGTTGTGAAAGGCTGTGCTTAGGCCATTGCATGGTTAAACAGCAAAAAATCCTTTAAACTAAGCCATATTGGTGTTTGTGTAGCATTTCCTCAGTGACCTTGACTGATCTTGAAAAAGCTAAGCAGAATGAGGTTGGTTAGTATTTGGATGGGGGTGTCATCAGGAGATCTTGGGTTAGCCTGAGAAATTTTTAAAAAAATCTGAATTGGCAAAAATCCCTTATATGGATATAAGGTCACCTAGAGATGCTTTAGCTTTACTGCATAGTTATAATTTATTTTAAGAGGTAGCAGTTGCCTTCCCTGCCTTCAGCAATTAACACAGTCTCCTGTTTGGAGTGGAGATTTTACTTTATGGTAAAGCCATGTGGTGTTGCCAAAATGACAGCACATCGGTGGTGACATTGGCACATAAATGCTGTGTTGATTGTAATTATATCCTTTATAATAACTATAATTACATGTAGAAAAGTCACAGCACTTACATAATGATATCCCATGTTTCAGCATTTGGCACCCTGCAAATGGCCATGTGATAAAACATGGTTATTTATTTACTTTGTTACTTATTAAATTTACGTGCTTCCCGACTTGGTATCAATAACTGCAGAAGAAGTTAGATCTGTTTCCTGGAACTGCACTGGAATTTCAAAAGGGGATTTAGTCCCTTTATAATGGGGCATAGAATTTCATTAAGCCTATCCTATGTTTCAACCAAGGGAACAAGTGATGCAGATTAAAAAGACCCTATACCTATCTATTCAGAAACATCCCCACATTAAGGCAACTGGGGCTTGCTGTTACTTGTGATTATACATATGAAATATAAATATTTTGTACATGGCGTTTCGAATTCCCATTTAACTCTTAAATTCTCCTGAATGTAAATTCTAGGTATTTTAGTTAGGGCACAGTTGGGGAAGGCAGACTTGGACTGGATCAAAAATTACAACACACACAATAGATTTAAACTAAATAGTGTGGTGGGCAGAACAAGCCTTAAAATGTTGTTCAGTTAAACACATTGGAAAGGGAAATAAGATGATTTCCTTTTTAATAATCCACTCAAGATTTTAACTTGTATTTCACTTGATAATGTTCTTAGTGGTTTCTTAAATGTTTCCTTATGCTTGGAAGGCAGCCATGTTTCAGTGATCTAAAAAACTATTTTAATCCCATATGCATTCTTTGGGACTATTATTTCTGAATAAACTTGCATAGGATTGTGCTATTGCTTATTTCTCCAGTTATAGTTCAGTGCTTGAGGGGAACTGGGGGTGAGAGACTTAATCTATTCCCACAATCTATACCTCTCAAGAAACCAATAAGAATAGTAATGAAAACAACAATAACATAACATAGCTGTGGGTTGGAATTCTCATTTCTATTTATAGATGTACTCCTATCCTTTTACTCAAAAGTAAGTCCCTCTATCTCCAGTGGACTCTCCTTTCAGGTAAGCGGACCCAGGATTGCAGCCTTTCTGCTATGTGTCTACACTACAGTCACATACAATACTGTCTGATTCAGTGAGATTTATCCTGAGGTAAATACATAGAAACTGTATCTTTAGATAGAACTGAGCAAAATAGTTTTGGTTTGGGGGTTGATGACTTGGTAACCTATGAATCAGATTGAATGCAATATAATTATGTTTTTGTATGTTTCTTTGAAATAATACTTGAACTCTTCTGTGCAATTACTCAAGCATAATTCTTTTTCTTCCATGGGCCTACTTTGATTAAGTGATTTATGGATCATTTCAGCTTTGGACTCCCACATATTTCACAGCTATTGTATGATGCTCTGTTCTCTGCCTGCCCACAATATTCTTCAGGAAAACAAAAAAAGGTGAGTATAGATTCCACACAATAATAAGCTGTTCATTGGTGATAGTTCTTTGCAAAAAGCCACAAAGAGATTGTTGCTGAGTTTGCTTTGAAATTCAAACTGATCACAAGCCCAATTTGGTTGACTTTTTTGTTAAGTAGAGAAAATGTACCTTGAAAGAGCAGAGTGCTTCATATATTTCAAATCTTTATTCTATTGTTAATCAAATCTGAGTAAAGAAAAATAGGGACATCTCTCAAAAGTATTCTGAGCGGAGTACATTCTAATTATATTAATGTGATGCTTTTCAGCTGATCAATTTCTTGCACATACTCCTACTCTGAAAGCTTATTAAGCAATAGCATACAAAATTGCACATTTCTTTTCCCTTCACAATGCAATCTTCATGAGTCTTAAATTAACAAATAGTTATTGCCTCAATATATTATTTTGCTATAGAAAAACTGACTGATAGTTGAATTGTGAGCATGACAAAAATACATCAAATCTGAGGCACTAGCAGGAAAGAAAACTGACTTCCAGTGTTGGTTGGTTCATTAGTTTCATATTTTCTGATCTGTAGAAATTCATTAGATAAATAAGGGCTTTTACTTCCTTCAGATTTAATAACCTGTAAATATTCAATTGGAACGAACCCCACTGAGAATATAGTGAAATATATGACTGCTGTTCATAGCTTGGTGATAGCTACATCAGTATGGGTTTAACATCTGTTCATATGATCATCAGTGCAATGCTTTAGTTATGTGTAAACAGAAACAGTAGATGTAGCCGCATGTGCATCTGCATTGCTTTCTGCGAAGCATTTTGGCACAGTCACTATTGGTGCTGTAATCCATATGAAGATCACGGATCCATTCAATAGTCACTGAGGCCACCACCTTCCACATGAATTGGACTTCACCCTTTAGTAAGGGTATAATATTCAAACTTTCTAATGGAATGACACCTCTTTCTTCCATTTGAATGATGTCAGCTCGGGAGAAATGCCTTCACCAGAGCTCTCGTAATAGGAGAAATAACACATGAAAAAGACTTTCTCCCCTTTCTTAAATATGTGATGGTTGACTGAATTAAACTTCCCAAGACAAAAGGTTAGAACAGGGGTCTTCAAACTTGGCCCTTTTATGACTTGTGGACTTTAACTCTCAGAATTCCTCAGCCAGGCACGTTGGCAGGAATTCTGAGAGTTGAAGTCCACAAGTCATAAAAGGGCAAAGTTTGAAGACCCCTGGGTTAGAATATCTTCCAATCCTGCCTATTTAGCAAATACTTTTATCACGAATGAAAATATGTGTCCTGGGATAATGTCGCAGGATCCAATCTGGGTCAGTCATCGGGACCAGAGGTTTTGTCTTCTGAGCTTTCAGACTCATGCTGAAGCCCATCTTCAGGGAACTGTTCTCTAGAGATATAATCTCTAGAGAGAACTTTCCTGAGGATGGGCTCCAGTATGAGTCTGAAAAGCTCAGAAGGCAAAGCCTCTGGTCTCAGTGACGGATCCAGACTGGATCCTGCAATACTTTATCATTCCCTTTGATCCCACTCCATACTGATTTACTCAGACTAAAGACAAAATAAATCCATTCTGCACCATTTTAGGGTCTCTTGAAATAAGGAGCGTGCTTACTACAAAAGATTTGAGTTGGTTGTAGCTTTGTGGTGGTTTGTACTTCACATCAACAATGGCTATGTATATCTATTATGTGTTTTCTGTAGAAGCATGCCAATTTCTTGAAGCATTGAGATTGTGGTTTTTTTTTTTAATAGAAAGTGTTGAGTGTTAAGCCTCAATCTTTCAGGACTTCATGTTCATTCCTTAAGATTTACTTCAATAGAATTTTAAAGACATCGTTGGAAAGGAGGTTTCCATCCTTGGATCATTGATCATCCTTGGATCATTGTGTATGTATATTTTAGAATCTAAGGTCCAAATTATATTCCATTTCAAGTACTGATTTCAGATTGAGACTACAGTGAGCATTGTAGACTTTACAGATGCAAAGAAGGAACTGTTTTCCAGAACAATCAGAATTTAAGAATGTTTGAGTCTTTCTCAAGGCCAAATGTTTTGCCATGTATTCGCTTCTGGAAACTGTCTTCTAATCACTGCCATAATGAAAATTCCATTTTGCAAATAAGTTATTCTTACACTGGGATAATCACAGGAATAACTACTGGTAGGCCTCGACTTACAACAGTTCATTTAGTAACTCTTCAAAATTACAACGGCACGGAAAAAAGTGACTTATGGCCATCTTTCACATTTACAACTATTGCAGCACTTCACGTGATCAAAATTCAGATGCTCGGCAACTGGTTCATATTTATGATGGTTGCTGTGTCCCAAGGTCATGTGATCAGTTTTTGTAACCTTAAAACCAAAATCAATGGGGAAGCCAGATTCACTTAACAACCATGTTATTAACTTAACTGCAGTGATTCACTTAACAACTGATGCAAGAAAGGCCACACAGTGGGGCAAAACTCACTTAATAAATGTCTCACTTAGCAACAGAAATTTTGGGCTCAATCGTCATAAGTCAAGGACTATCTGTAATTCATTTTGGATTCTTGTTTTATCCTATCTTAATTATAAGACTGACTTGTAGAAGAGCCCCCTCAACTGAAAATAGCAGTATGCATTATTGCATATAGCATAGTCCCATTCAGAAAGAAA